AGTGCCGGCTCAGGGGGTGCTCCAGGCTGCCGTGCTCCACCTGGCAGCTGGAGCTGAGCCCGCATTGCCGGGGGCGGTTTTCAGCAGCACCAGGAGCCTCTGGCTCCAGTCCCCGCTGGGGAGCACGGCAGTGGCCAGCACGTGGCCCGAGAGCTGCTGCTGGCCCTGGGAGAAGCTCAGCTGGATGTGGGCAGGGGAGAAATCCATCAGGGAGCAGAGCAGGCGGCCGGGGCCGGGCTGGGAGCTGGAGGGCACCAGCGAGATGGACACGCTGGGATGGGCAGGGGGCTTGGGGACCGCCCAATGCGGATCTGCCCCCTGCCAAGCTGCAGGGAATCGCCCCAGGGATCGAGTGCTAAGGGAACCACATTTCTTTCAACCCAACCTTGCCCTTCCCTCTCCCCCTGCCCCCATTCTCACCATTCCCCCAATCCACAGATCCCTACCAATGCAATTCACGTTTCCCTGTCCCACACTTTGCGGGTCCCAGGCCCCTCTTCTGCCCTGCTCTTCCACCCCTTCCCCACTGGCTCCCAATCCACCACCCTAGTCCATCCTGCTTGGTTTTGGAGGTTCAAGGCCCCTCCTCCTCCATCTGTGCGTCCCATCCCGCCTATCACTCAATTTGGATAGCTCCTGGCTGCTTTTTCCTGGGAGGAATCCCTGGATTTTGGGATTTTTAGGGTGCAGTTGTGCACCTCCACCCTGTGGAGGGGGACAGCTCTGTTAGGCTTTCCCCTCCCTGCTGTGGCCTCTCAGCTGCCCCCCACACCCTGGCGGTGCTGGGATTTCCCTCCTGGGCACAAAGACCTTCATTCCCTTCCAGGAGCCCAATGCCCGGCTGGGGCTCCAGGCCAGGGGGTCCTTGAGCAGCTGCCCCAGAACCTCTGCCAGGGGCTCCCAGCGCAGCTGCAGCCGTTCGGCCTGGGCTCCCCAAAGCCCTCAGCAAGCCCCAAGTCCCTGCCAGGAACCCTCAACTCCCTCAAACACAGCATCCCCCACAGCCCCTGCAAGTTCCCCCCATGGCAGTGGCCATGGCCATGGCCCCACATGTCACTGGCCATGGCCCACCATGTCCTCACCCAGGGCTGTGTCCCCACTGTGTTTCCATCCCTGTCACTGTCCCCCACGTCTCCATCTGTGCTGGTATCTCCCCGTGTCCCCATGAATGGCCACATCCCCGTCCACGTCCATGTGTCCCCATGCCTGTCCCACCATGTCTCTGTCCCTCAATGTCCCCACCCATGTTTTAGTTCATTGTCTTTATTTTTACCCAAATGTTGGATATTTTAAAGGGACAAAGATAAATGAAAAGCAAATCAAGGCCAAAACAAAAGGATTCCCGTGTCTGTGTACAAATAGGATCCACGTGCTTGGTTGGGAGGTAAGAAGGTGTCTGGGGAGGTTTCCACCTCACTGTCTCCAAAATCTTGATCTTTGACCCAGTTCATTAGCATTTGGCTGAGGAAGGCACACTTGGGCCATAGGAAATCAAAATCATCAAATCACAGAGGTTGGAAAAGACCTCCAAAACTATCCAGTATTACTTGATGCCACCAGAAGATAGGATTGAATGCAAAAGGTTTTCTGGTATTGAAAGTCAACAAATCCAATCTCTCCAAGGAATTCCCATTGTTGGTCTGTGTCCCAATGGATGTTCCTGCCCCTGCTTTGATCCAGGTGCCCACAGGGAGCCAGGAAGATGTGGAGCCTCCCAGCCAGGTGTCTTCCCAACACGGATCACCAGGACCACGGATCACCAGGGCTCTGCCCAACGGGGGTCACTGGGGATCATCCAACGCCCATCCTCCCATGGGGGATGGAGCTGGAGCAGCGCACGAAGCTCTTCCCGCACTCGGGGCACTCGCAGGGCTTCCCTTACTGGTGCCTACGTTGGTGTCGGGTCAAGTGAGAGCTGTCTGAGAAGCTCTTCCCACACTGGGGACACTCGTAGGGCCTCTCCCCAGTGTGGATGCGCCGGTGGACAGTGAGGTTGGAGTTGTGCTTGAAGCCCTTCCCACAGTCGGGGCAGCGGAAGGGCCTCTCGTCTGTGTGAATCCGCTCATGTAGGAGGAGATTGGAGCTGGTCTTAAACCTCTTCCCACACTTGGGACACTCATAGGGCCTCTCCCCAGTGTGGATGAGCTGGTGTTTTCTCAGTTCAGAGCTCCACCCAAAGCTCTTCCCACATTCCAAGCAAGTGTAGGGCCGTTCCCCTGTATGGATCACCTGATGACTGATCAGGCTGGAACTCTGGCTGAAGCTTTTCCCACATTCCCCGCACTCATAGGGCTTTTCCCCAGTGTGGATCCTCTGATGTTGCATCAAGATAAAGATGCTTCTGAAGCTCTTGCCACATTCCCCACAGTCATAGGGCCGCTCCCCGGTGTGGATCCCCTGATGCTGTATCAGGTTAGAGCTACTGCTGAAGCTCTTCCCACATTCCACACACTCGTAGGGCTTTTCCCCAGTGTGGACCCGCTGGTGCCGGACCAGGTTGGAGCTGTCACTGAAGCTCCTCCCACATTGCCCACACACGTAGGGCTTTTCCCCTGTATGGATCACCTGGTGCCGGATCAGGCTGGAGCTGTGGCTGAATGCCTTTCCACATTCCAAGCACTTGTAGCGTTTCTCCCTACCATGAGGCTTCTCCACCAGCTCTGAGCTCCTGCTGGACTTCCTGCTGCCTTCCTGGCATAGGGCAGGTCCTTCTTCCATGCAGCTCCCTGGGCTGGGTTTGCAGCCCCTCCTCATTTGGGATCTCCAGGGCTTTTCCTCCTCCTCCATCTGGCCAAGGCTTGGGAATGAGAAATCCTGGTTGGAGGGAAAAAACAAGAGGATAGCACCTTGGGCTGGGGGTTTATTCCTTGCCCAAATTCATCTCAGGAAGTCACTTGGAATCTTGTGTCTGTAAGAACCTCCAAAACACCAACATTCAGCCCAAACATCCTCTGAACATCAAGACATAGATCAAAAACGCCCCAATATCAAGATTCACCCAAAAGCCCCTCCAGAACATAAAGACTCAGCCCCTGCAAACAACCAAAGCACCAACATTTAGCCAAATAAAGCTCAGAAAGATCAAGATTCAGCCCCACGAAAATCATGGATCCCCCACCCCAGCACCTGCTGAATGAAGGCGGGGGGCAACGCCCCTGAGGCTGGGAGGCTGCAGATACAGGGAGGGGTAGAACCCTGTGCTACCTGTTTCTGCTCCTGCTCCTTCTGCTCCTCCAGTCTCCCTACTCTCCCTCACACTCCTCTTTCTCCTACTACTCCTTCTCCTGCACAGTCCCACCTTCTTCTCCCACAGGCATCATTTGACCATTTTGTTCTTCAGCCCTGCTTCTCCTTCCCTTCTCCTACTGCTCCCAGGCCCAGCACCCACTGCCGCCTCCCTCTTCCCCCCCAGTCCCACAGCATCCCACCGCAGGGGCACGGATGCAGCTGGGCCAGCTCGGCCTGGGGCAGCGCTGGGCTCTCGGCCGCTTCCGCCCGCACTCGCTCCCCACTGCAGCCGCTCCCGCCACCACAGCGTGGGGGGGCCCGGCCT